TGTTGTTGTGTCTAATAATGATAACGACAGTACTGTATATGGAAGCTGGCACAATAGAAATGCAAAAGCTGCTGGGGAGAGAGAGGCCCCAAATTTCATAACAAAATGTTCATTATCCTTCACCAGCAGCAGATAAAGTTGAAATTTATTTGTATTGGTGGCATGCGGCCCAAAACACCCGGCCATTTCCGAGATGCACAGATTACAGTACGTTGAAAATCACCCAATTCAGAAAGGCATGGAATTTTTTTGTTTGTTTGTTTTCTGGTTAGAAAGCCAGAGTTCTATATCTGCCTCTATTTTCCAATTGTATCAGTATCTCTGGAATCCACTGGAGTTTCAGTAGGCAGCACTGAAAAAAAGGCCAGGGTGGCTTTGCAGGTACTTTAGGGGAGACAGTGACAGTGAAGGCATATTTGCAAGGAATTCTAAATATGCAGCTTGCATGGCTATGCATCATTTGCATGCACATGAGCACGTATGCGCACGCGTGCACACACACACACACACACACACACACACACACACACACACACACCTTGGCTTCCCTTGCCAGAAAATGAGATATATTCATCCTTTCCTACTTTTCTGGGCTGGGGACAGGATAAAAAATGAGGGCAAAGCCAGAGGCAAGCACCTCATGATGACTCAAATTCCCCTGAGACAAAGTAGGAGCCACCCCTTTTTGGCTGCTCCCACTTTGGTTTCTGCAAAAAGCAAGTTTTCAATCTCCTAGTCTACCAATCCAATTTATTTAATAAGAGACTGCAATAATTGAAGTAATGTGCACTTCTCTTCTAATGCTGCTCAAATTTACTGTAATTTCCTTTATCGTCTCAGTTTGTGGAAGTCAGCTAAGTATGTAAAAGATTAGTTAGCATATTTAGATTTATACAAATGAATATACACTACATAGATAATAAACATACAATGTCACTATTGGATAGCAAGTGTAATTCTTCTCTGATGACAAAAATGGTAGAATATACTTTTTTGCCTTTCAAAGAATTGATAATCTTCAATCTTAACATTTTTTAAATCAATTTTCTTAGTATATGTTTTTATACAATTGAAAATATAACAAATCATAAACCATAAAATTAGTTTAATAAAAATAACATACCTTACAAAATTACATCCTTTGTGAATCTATAAATAAACTCAGTGGCATATAAATTACTTAATGGAATGGGGAAATAGCATTCTCATCAACTAAAAATGCTTTCACTAAGCATTTTTACTAAGCACTAACCTATCCATAGGCCTTTTCCCGAATTAAAAGCTAGCCTGCACATCATATATGGCAGGGGCAGAGGCATTCAGGCACTTTTCAAGTTTTAATGTACGTATAAATCACCTTGAGATTCTTTTAAAATATAAGTTCTGGTCAGCAGATCAGGAATGGGGCCTGGGATTCTGCATTTCCAATAAGCTCAAGATGATGCTACTAATCTTGGGTCCCATTTAGACAACCCTGAACCCTATTAGACTCCAATCAGGACTAAAGTTCCTGCTGGAAATTTGCACAAATGTTTAACTCACTTTTTTTTAGTTGTTATTATTTACTCTCATGATTGTTTATAACACAATTAATGTGTTTAAAATGTCAACTGATGGAATTGTTCCCCATAAATTCACCTTATCAATCGTCTTCCACTGTCTCTCAAGTAATTGATTCTATGCTTCATGACACATAAGAGGGAGAGGATATAAAATGTTCCTTTCTAGATTTGAGGGGTTCAAAGCCCTAAAACCCATTCTCTACCACCTTATTGCACAATCACCCTGTATTTTCTCTTTCACTTAGGCAAGTTGTTGTTTTTTGATTATTCCTGTTACTTTTATAAATAAAGGAGGGCTGGAAACTATTTCTGTTACATACTGTCTCCACTACAGATTAAAAGTATCGTCTATTTCAAGATAGATGGGAAACACAATATTGTTTCTTTCTCAAAGGAAGTGTACCTATGTCAAAAGTATAGAATGGAAGAAACATAACAGGGTAAAAACTATCAATAACATATAATAGAGTTTTTCAGCCTTGACACTATTGACATTGATGGCTAATTCTTTTTTCGGGGGGGGGGACTATCCTGTGTACTATGGGATGTTTGACAGCATCATTGGCTGCTACTCATTAGACACCAGCAACATTCACCATGCCCTCTCCAGTCACAAGTTATAACAGTGAAAACTGTTTCTACATGTTGCCAGATGACCCTGAGGGACAGGGTTCTAAGTATTTCCAATTGCTCACAACTTTCATCCTCAGTACAACCCTAACGAGGCGGGTACTATACTATTGTTTTGCCTATTGAATACATGAGGAAGCTGAAATACAGAAAGGTTAAGTAGACAGAAGAACTGGAATTCATATCCAGTAGTTTTACTTTTAGAATATGTGCTCTTAACTACATTCTGTGTGGAAAAACATTTAGTAAAATGGGAAAAAAAGAGAACAATTTCAATAGGACTTATTTTAATGTAAATGAAGTTAGCAAAGCTGCTATTCATATAGAGGAATGAAAATCCCAACCTACCAGATGTCTGATATGAGTTTCTATTCTCTAAAATCAAACTTTATGAACAACAGAGGTTAAGAGAAGAATATATTTATTGAGAGAAAGAAAGCTTCTCTCTGAAAGAGAGACAGAAGGACTCCCGAGTGGGTTGTCAAGGACTCTGTCTTTTTTGGAGAATTTTATAGAGCAAAACCATGAGGCAGAGGGGCCCAGGGTAGGGAAAACATGGAAACTTGCAAGGTGGGCATAAGGTGGGACAGAACTATGGTCACAAATAAGATTAACTGCTCGAGTAAAATTAAATCAGGGATAAATGGGGAAGCCAGCCACATAGCAAGGGGGGCATTCTTAAAAAGCAGTGACTTCCTGTAGGAGATTGGAATGGTGACTCCTGGCTTCCTCAGGGTGATATAGACCTATTTTGAATATCAATCCTTAGGATGTAGGCTTGGCCCACAGTGGAAGTGTCTGTCTCTCACACAGTTGCAAGGTATCTGGCCTTCTGCACTGGCTCCTTCCAAGACCTAGCCTTGTCTCACTGCCTATAATATTTCTGACTCAGTTGCCTGTAACCCTATGAAATACAACTAAATATTAATTTAATAATCTGATACCAAATCTTAAGAACTTTAGAAAAGAGGAGCCAGCAGCATAAGCACCTGCCTGGCAAGCACAAGTTTACAAGTTCGATCCCCAGTACAAAAAAAAAAAAAAAAAAAAAAGAATTTTAGAAAAGAATTTGTATTAAATAGTAGGCTACCTTTCTGGAAATTTTCTAAATTCCCCATATGTATCAGTATTGGCCCACCTAGCAATGCTGTCCAGATTTTGCACTTTGCCTAGGCTAGAAAAGACTTTCATGTGAGTTGGTCCCTAGTTGCCGTTTCTCCCTTCTGCTGCTTTTTGATCTGCAATACTACCCTTTGCATGAAGTTGACCAGGTGCTCTGAGGCCCCAGTTGCAGGAAAATGGTATGGCCAGCATGCTTCCCCCAAGAGCCAATGTGCCATTTCACTCGATCAGTGTTGACTTGATGATTTTGGACAGCTCTCGCTTATATCAGACACAGGACAAGTAGCTCAGAGCTACCAGTTATCTACCACTGACCCTTGGGTACTGCTATTTCCTATATATAGTACCTGTCGGTGACAGTTGGCTACAGGCATTCATCACCCTTTATGTTCAGGGAGGTCCCCAAGGAACTTTCTGCTGTGGCTTCAAAAAGCCCATGTGTTGGTGGTACTTAAAAAGGAGGCCTTGCCTGTGTTCTCAAGGGATTTTTAGATTATTACTCTACAGCACCAACACTACATCTGTGTTACCTCTTGCCTCTCTCAAATGCGGTAAGATTGTGCTCTCCCAGGTGAGTTTCAAACCATGTGGGGAGAAGTTGGACATTGCTTGTGCAAATAGAATGGCTCTTCTTGCTCAGCACTTGGTTCCTTCACCTACCCTTCATCATTCTTCCTGTTGCTGGTGATATGCACACAGCAAGAGCTTAGTCAATGTTTAGGAAGATTATATACTCAGAGTGCAGTACTGACAGCCTAAAGAGTTCAAGGAAGACATGGGAGATTGATGTTCTCCTTTGCAGTACAAAGTTCTGGGTGGTAACTCAAGAGGCTCAAACAAGAATCACAGGGAGTTCAAGGCCAGTTGGGGATACACAGTGAATTCAAGGTCCACCTGAACTACACAGTGAGACTCTGTCTCAAAACTAATAGCAATTCTGGGTGCTAAATTTAAAATGAGTAGAAAAGTACTTGCTCACACGTTCCTGTATACTCTTGAGTAACACTTTGTATTATGTGATTATCAAGTGTGCCCAGTTGCAATATGTGAGAGTCACATGCAGCCAGAGGGATGATGCGGTGTTAGTATGTAATGATGTCACCAGTATTACATAAATTATACTAGGGAATCATGAGGACAAGAAGATTTTTTGTTTTAAAATAGTTTCCTACTCTGATGAGTGTCTGGTATTTTAAAATCATAAATGAATATTAAATATTTCTTCAACTAATGATATCCACCAGTTCATGTTAACCAAAGAAAAATCCCCATCTCAATTTAACAGCAAAAATTGGATCACAGACTGAATATAATGACCCTTCTAATGAATATTTCTCAGTAATGGCATAAGCAAACATAACAATTTGTTTTGCTCATTAATCTGTCTAAAATGGATCTCTGAGAAGTGAATTCATTGCAGACTACATTCTTTCATTAAAAGAAGTGGAAGCTATTGCTGGATTAACATTCCCTACAACATGAAATTGAATCCCAAATTCCAAATATTTTCTTGGTCTGAATTCTAAGAAATACGGTAGCACTTCTCAATTCATTTTCCTTAAGTACTATTGAGAGTATGAATTGGGAGCTCCAGTTGTTGAACATCAGTGCATTATTTATTAAAAGGAAAATAATGGCATGTATTTATTTAAATAAGACTATACAACAATCTTATCCATATTCAAAAAGAACTATCAGTTTATAAAGAGCTTCTTTCCATTATGTAACTTAAATTAAATTAAATATTACAATTGAAAGCTTCAAGTTTGAATTCTACCCATACTTCACAATGTGAAATATAAGGAATAATGCTTCATGTTTTTGCAGATGTTGAGGTATCTTTGTTCCACTCCTAAATAAAAAGAAAGCAAAAATTAATTATACGGTATTTTAATATTTCATTTTGCATTTCCTCATTCACAGGGCAAAATATAATCCTCATTAGTATATCTGTGTTTAGTGTGTTATCTCATATTTCAGTAAAATCAAAGAAACTTAGTTATTTTCTGGCAATTGATTATCCACCCACTTGCCTTGCTTAACTGATATATCTTCTTGGTCTATAGATGCACTTGAATTTATGACTCATAACATAAATATTAACATTAAACAGATGGTGGTTGAATTGAATGTACTGCAAACACACTATTATTTATTCATTGAACATTCTTTTGATATCTATGATACTTCTACCTAGTACAGTTAGAAACAGCGGAGTTGAGGAAGTCATGTCTTTTCCCCATTTAGTTTTAAACAGCACTGCTAAGGGCCTTCCTCCTTTCATTATCCTAAGAGAGGTGGAGAATCCCATAACCAAAATCACATAAAAATCTGATGCTCTAGGAAGGAGCACATGCATGTTGGATCTCTTAACCTTGATTTCAGTCACCTTCACCCTACTCCAACCTTATTAAAGGTTAATGAATAAGCACCATACCTAACTTAAGATCAGAGTAAATTTCAGGATAGGTATTCACATTGAGAGCCCCTGAGATGACAGAGCAATCATTGCGTCAATCATACCTAGAGACGCACAGTAGGAGGCACCTGGGCAGAGGTGTACACCCTTTGAATTCCAAAAGCCTTACTTTTGTTGGAACCTCTGCTGTGTGCTGTGTACTGTGTGTAGTGATTTTGCTTTCCTGTCACCCCCAATACCACTTCTTGACTCATGCATATCTTTTGTCTGCACAGACTTGTCCTAAGCACAATTTCCCATGATCCTCAATAAATGTAGTTGCTTACCACTTTCCACCAGGTGTATGCCTTATAATTATTTGCTTGTACACCAGAGCTTGGATTATACTTATTAAATTCATTGTGAGGTAACAAATCCATAAAAAGAACAGCAAGACATTAGGCAGGAAACAGCCACTAAATAAAGATGCACAATAGAATGTCAAATTTTGGCACAGGAAAATAAAATAATATTGGATCTAGGACTAGCACTCAGAATAATTCAGCCTGCTAATTCCCAGAAAGCTAACAAAAATGTTGTCAATTGATCCACATATGCTGGGTTTAGTGGCACTCATAATCCCAGCCCTTGGGAGGCTGAAGCAGGAGGATCATTGTGAGTTTGAGACCATCCTGGACTACAAAGTGAGCTCAAGTCCAACCTGACTGCATAGTGAGACCCTGTCTCAAAAAGACAAAAAACTGATCCACATAAGTAAATAATAATAACTAAAAATCCATTGAAATTCTCTATACTTCTCAAACAGGTTTTAAATCAGTCTTCTCCAAATCATAACACAATCTATAAAAGCAAGCAGTCTACTCCAAATCATAACACAATCATATATATATATATATATATATATATATATATATATATAAAATTGTCTCTTACAAGCAAAACACCCAAATAGCACTTTTGTAATCCCCCTCTCCAAATTCTTATTATAAGCTTCTCATTTTTTATCTTTTAATGTAAATATATGAGATAATATTTACTTCATCTTTTAAACTTTAGATTTTGTTTCCCTAATTTGCTCATTTTATCCTATTGTGTGTATACTCTGCTGCAAATCTTTGTTTAAAAAGAGATACAATGTAAACATACACATTCTTTCCTAAGATTTTTCAGGTAAGAGAAAGCATATGCTGTAACACGACCTTCATCAATTTAACTGAGATTAGCATAGTCGTATGTGAGCAATTTCTATAAGGCTTTATTTTGGAAATACATTTCTACTGGAAATTTTTAAATCACCTTCAGGTTTTCATTTTGGTACTTAGAAAAACACAAAGCTATAATCTAGTCTGAGTTTAATATAAGGAAGCACAAAAAAAAAAAAAAAAACAAATACACAAGCTAATGAACACCCCCAAATACCAATTAAATAGAGTCTGAAACTCAAATCTAGTATTTTCCAAAAGTTAAATGGATACATTAAGTGGGTTTGAAAATCAAATTCCTGACAGTTGAGGTACATCCACCAGTGGGGGGGGAAAACTTCTTCCAAAGAAAAACAAGTGAAAAGAATCCATGTTGTCCTCAGAATGGAATGAAAAGAAGAATTAGAGGAATGAATGAAAAGCATGCAAGTGAATTCAACCATCTATTTAGCAAACATGTTGGAGCAATTCTGTGTTTCTCAAAGTACTGGGAAAACAAGAGAATATTCAAATTCTTGTCTTCACAGAGTCCCTATCCTGGCAAATGAAATACTATACAGAACTAAAACAAATGTAATAACAAGGTTAAGTCTGTCTGTAATGTAAAGTAACAGAGGTTAAACAGATTGAGTTGTTGAGAAGAGAATACCATGTCAAAGAGGGTGGTCAAGTAATGCTCAATAGGAAGGGAACATTTAAGCACAGACATGAATGAAGTGAAGGAAAAGCATTCAAGACAGAGAAGGCAACGATAGTAAAAACCCTATGTAAGAGGGAGTTGCAGGAGAGTTCCAAGTGTTCTGGTATGGCCCAAGCACAGCGAACAAGGCTGAAAGAAGCTGGAGATAGAAGCTGATTCATGCTGGTATATATCAGGGTTTTTTGATAACCACAAATTATTTGACACTCTTGCCTTCAAGAAGTGGGGTGTACTGGGTGAGTGTCACTTGTAATCCCAGCATTTAGGAGGCTGAGGCAGGAGGATTGCTGTGAGTTTGAGCCCAGCCTGGGCTACATAGTGAATTCAAGACCAGCCTGATCCACATAGTAAAACCCTAACTTTAAAAAAATGTGGGGTTTAAGTTCCCTCTCCTTAGAGTACTGTGAAGTAACAATAGATTCCTTTAGAATCGTAATCATAAAAATCCCATATAGCTTCTGTCTGGTTTCTTGGGTGCTCGGTCTGAGGGAAACCACATGCCACATAAGAAGTCCAACTGGCTGGGCTGGGGATTTAGCTCAGAGGCATAAGCTCCTGCCTTGCAAGCACGCAGTCATGAGTTCGATTTCCTGTACCAAAAAAAAAAAATAAAAAAACAAGAAGTCCAACTGTCTTGAGACTGTTATGCTGGGGAAGCAGCATGTAAGCATTGTAGTCAAGAGTTCCAGTTGGCCACAGTCTTCCAGCCACCCTGCCAAGGAATGAGACATGCCAATGAAATTGTCTTAGAGCCTTCAAATCAGTCAGCAGAATCCCACTGCATAACCTCAGCTGACTCCATACTGAACAGCAAAAACAAGCAGTCAAGGCCTTCTGACATTCCCAAAGCATCTTAAAATGGTTATTTTAAGCCATAAAGCTTTGAAGTAATATACTACACCGTAATAGTAACTGGACCTTGGGCCCTGGGGCTACAATAAAAACATATTTTGCAATCTAACTATGATAGTAAGCCATTGAAGAGTTTTGAACAATAAAATAATGTGATTTGATTAAAGGCTTTGAATAGCCATTCTAGCTGATGTATAGAAAATCAACTATAAGATTGACGGTGTGTATAGAGACATACCATTATGAAGCTCTTGTATAATTCTGGGAAGAGAAGATGGGAGCTTAAATTAGGGAGGAGGCAGTAGTGTGAGAAGTGGTAACATTTAGATGTATCTGGGAAATAAAGCCCACTGAATTTTCTGATAGAATATATATATATAAATAAGAATAACGTGAGTTGGGGGCCTAGGCAATGGGGTAACAGTGGTAGCATTTTCTGTAATAAGAAAGACTGGGGGAGGAGCAGGTTTGGGATAAGGAAGAGGTTCTTACATTGAATTCTGAGTACATTAAGAGATTTAATGCCCAAATTCATAGTGTAGAATTCAATTTATGAATCTGGTATTCTAGAGGAGAAATAATGTAGAACTTGTATAAGCAAATCTGGAGTTCAAAGGGACAGAACAAAACTACATTTATAATACAGGAATCACCAGCATATATATGCTTTTAGAGCCACAAGACTGGGTCCCAGTTACCAAAAAAACAAAAAAAACAGGTGGACCAAAGAATATGCTTAAAAAGTCAGGAAGATGCAAGGAAAACTAGATATGCATGGATAAGAGAACAAATTTGGGCTCTTAGCTTATACTATATACAGCAATTAGTTAAAAGTGGATCAAAATATAGGCTAACATGCAAATCAATAAAATTCCTAGGGCAAAAATAGAGTTGTTTTCAGAGCATTGGATTTGGAAATGATTTCTTAAATAGAACAACAAAAGCTCAAGCAACAAAGTAAAAAGAGATAAACTGGACTTCATAAAAGCTGATTAACAACTTCTGTGTATCAAAAAACATTAACAAGAGAGTAAAAAGACAATTCATAGAACTGAAGAAAATATTTCCAAATTACATATCTGATAGCTTGAAATTTAGAACATTGGAATGAATTTCTGGTTATAAAACCTCTTTGCTATTGCTTAAAAAACCAGACAAGTTCTATTTAGTATTGTTCTAGAATTTCTTATCAATGCAGTAAGACTAAAAAAAGACAATTGGCAAACAGAAAAAAATCTATTATTTGCAGACATTAAGATTGCATATCTAGTTAAGGCAAGAAAATCAATGGGAAAGCTATTCAAATTAAGAAGCACATTCAATAAAGTGGCTAGAGTAGGGTAATTATCAATAGTTCAAGTAATAAGCAGCTAGAAATATAGTGAAACAGCAATAGCTTTCCTTAAAAATAACCTAGAAATAACTTATAGCAAGAATGTTTGAGAGATATATATTCGTTTACTAAGTGAAATAAAAGAATACTTAAATACTGTGTTCCTGATTGGGCAGGCTTAACCTCATAAAAATGTCTATTCTTCCCAGATTATAGGTAATACAATCTCAATCATAATCTCATGAGGATGAATCTTAATTTAATGATACATTTCTGAAGTTCATCTGAAAGAATAAATAGGCAAATAAGAAGAGAAATGAAAGTGGGCTTTCTCTGCCAGATATTA